TAATGAGAGAGGGAGAGAGATAATGAGAGAAAGAGAGAGAGAGAGAGAGAGAGAGAGAGAGAGAGAGAGAGAGAGAGAGAGAGAGAGAGAGAGAGAGAGAGAGAGAGAGAGAGAGAGAGAGAAACAGACATACAGACAGATAGACATCGACAGACACAGAAACAACACCGCCTCAACCTAAAACTAAACAAATCAAAAAGCAAACAACAACAAAACAAAGACATTCCCTGAAAATACCTCCACGCCCCTAAACCTCCCGACCCCGACTCCCAACAGGTCGGCAGCTTCGCGGCGTCCATGCTCGACTGGCTGCACGCGGAGGCCAACCTGGACATCTCGACCGTCAGCCTCGTCGGCCACTCCCTCGGCGCCCACGTTTCTGGAGCCGTCGGGCGCCATCTCGCGTCCGCCAGGCTGCCGAGGATCACAGGTGAGCTTGGGGGAGGAGGAGGGGAGGGGGAGGGATGGGTATGTGGAGGGGAGGGGGAATGGAAGGGTGGGAGGGAGGGAGAAGGGGGGGGGGAGAATGAGGAGAAAGGGAGAGGGGATAAAGGGAAAGAGAGAATGGGTGGGGAAGAGGGTGAAAGGATGAGGGAGAAGGAGTGGGTAGGAGGATGGGTGGAATGGAGAAAGACTGGGAATGAGGAGGGGAGAGGAGGCGGTTGGGAGAAAGGGAGAAAGGGAGAAAGGGAGAAAGGGAGAGCCTATTGGAGAGAAAAAGGGGAAGATAAGAAGGAACAGTTATATATCTAGAGAGAAAGGGAGAAAGGGAATGTATAAAGCTACTGAAGAAATGGATGTTGAATAACATTTTAGGTTCGAGGACAGGTAAACCCCCCCAAAAAAAACAAAAAGCAAAAACAAACTAAGACCAGATTATTACTGAACAACAAAATCCCTACTGCCCAGACACACAGAAATTAAATCCTAACTGACATGGATTCAAACCACCCTTGAAACCTCTCGAAACCTCCTTCAACGTGTCCCCAACAGGCCTGGATCCCGCGGGCCCGGAGTTCTACAACCAGCCCGAGGAGAACCGCCTGGATCCCTCCGACGCCATCTTCGTCGACGTCATCCACACCAACGCCGGCTCAGTGCTCGAGGTCAGAAGCAACGAGGAGCGCAACGTGTTATTATTGTTATTGGCTTTTCTGTTTTTGGTCATCTTTTTTGGTGTTATTTTCTTGTTTCCTTATATTTGTATTTATTTCTCGCTTCATTTTTACTCACATTTCTTCTTCATCATCATCATCCTTTTCATCATTTGTTATAAACGATATGTACGGAAAATATGGCTACAAATTTTTCTAGATTTTTTGTTAATTTTGTTTTCTTTTTACGAGTATATGATTTTATTCTTTTTTCTTCTGTTATTGGGCTTTCTGTTTTTGGTCATCTTTTTTTGGTATCATTTTCTTATTCCTTATATGTGTATTTATTTCTCGTTTCATTTTTACTCACATCATCCTTTTCATCATCTGTTATAAACGACCTGTACAGAAAATATGGATACTGATTTCTTTCTAGATTTGTTTTTGGAAATTTTGTTTTCTTTTTATTAGTATGTGATTTTATTCTCTTTTCTTCTGTTGTTGGGCTTTCTCTTTTTTGTCATCTTTTTTTGGTATTATTTTCTTGTTTCCTTATATATGTATTTATTTCTCGCTTCATTTTTACTCACGTCATCTTTTTCATCATCTGTTATAAACATGTACAGAAAATATGGCTACTATTTTTTCTAGACTTTTTGTTAATTTTGTTTTCTTTATATTGGTATATGATTTTAATATCTTTCCTTCTGTTGTTGGGCTTTCTGTTATTGGTCATCTTTTTGGTATTATTTTCTTGTTTCCTTATATGTGTATTTATTTCTCGCTTCATTTTTACTCACGTCATCTTTTTCATCTTCTGATATAAACGACATGTACAGAAAATATGGATACTGATTTTTTTTAGATTTTTTGTTAATTTTGTTTTCTTTTTGTTAGTATGTGATTTTATTCTCTTTTCTTCTGTTGTTGGGCTTTCTTTTTTCGGTCATCTTTTTTCGTATTATTTTCTTGTTTCCTTATGTATGTATTTATTTCTCGTTTCATTTTTACTTAAATCATCTTTTTCATCATCTGTTATAAACGACACATGGATACTTATTTTTTTTCTAGATTTTTTGTTTTGTAAATTTTGTTTTCTTTCTATTAGTATATGATTTTATTCTCTTTTCTTCTGTTGTTGCGCTTTCTGCTGTTGGTCATCTTTTTGGTATTACTTTCTTGTTTCCTTATATGTGTATTTATATCTCGCTTCATTTTTATTCACATTTCTTCTTCTTCACCATCATCATTTTCATCATCTGTTATAAAAGACATGTACAGAAAATATGGCTAATGATTTTTAAAGATTTTTTTATATTATTTTCTTTTTACTAGTATATGATTTTATTCTGTTTTCTTTTTCTTCTTCTCTTGTTGGGTCTTTCTGTTTTTGGTAATCTTTTTTG